CAGAGACTCACCACGCCAAATGGCAATTCTTGGTGCAGCGGGTCGTGAGGGAGGTAATGCAGCGGCATGGAGGGCGACAGCGTGGGGGCGTGGTGAGACGGGGGGTACGTGAAGCCCGCGATGGGGTGCTGCTCCCCTCGCAGGTCCACGTCATTGTCTATCCTCTGCAGAGGCTGTGGGGGAAACAGTTAGGCTGGGAGAAGCGTCCCATATTACACCTCCCCAACACTACCAGGACCCTGGGCACCCTCACCCACCACCCGCAGCTCAGACCCACAGGGGCTGCAGAAGGACAAGACCCAAGGCAGTGTTCGTTGGGCACATCACATCCCCAACCCGTACCCCCACCCCAACTCACCATGCGTGGATGCTGGGCTTGGAGAGGTACAAACTGCCCCAGGGGGGCCATGTGGGGCGGCTGGTGAGGGGGCACTGGCGGCGGGGGTGGGTGCAGGATGTAATGGTCGCTGGAGATGATGGGGGGGAATGTCTGGTAGGAGACGGGAAGCTGTTGCATGGCACATGCCTGAATCAGCTGTGGGGAGAAACAGAGAGAAAAAACGGGGTCAGACACCTCTGCCCCCTCCCCAGGGTCTCCAACAGACAGACCCTGTGCCCTCAGAAACTTGCACTCCAGTGGGCCTGAGTACCCACACAATCTCTGGGCACTCATGGTCCAGGCTGTCCCCAGGTGTCCCCTTCCATGACTCACCGGGGGTGGGAGGCAGCAGAGCGGGTAGTGCTGTCCACTGAACATCACTGAGCATGCTGGGAGCTGCTGGGTGCTGCACCCAGGGATGTGCTGGCCAGCGTGGATGGGGAAGCCTTGCGTCGTGACGGTGGTAACCGTGTAGGAGAGAGGGACAGGTCCCTGGTGCACCTGAGGATGAGGCGCCAAGGGCACTGTCAGGATACAGCCCTGGCTGAGCTGCCCCCATCATGACAGGGTGGCATCAGGGTGCTGAGCACCCAGCACTGGAACACAACACCTGGCACCGCCGTCCCACTGGTGGTGGCCAGAGAAGTGGGCTGAGCGCAGGCTCAGTTTCAGGGAGTTTTGGACCCCTCTTTTCTCCCCACAGACAAGCTGGCACAGCCTCCAAGCCAGCACTGCCACCACAGATGACACTGACAGTTGTAACATGAACAACCCTACAAGGGGACTGTCCCCAGTCTCTGGGAGCAGGGACAACCCTGGCCACACCCAAGTTGGTACAGGGACCCCAGGATTTAAGTGCTCAAAGGACAAGAGCACCAACAGGCTCAGGACTGGGTGCTCCCAGCAGCAAGTGGCCAGAGGGGACTCAGGGACATGTCACCATCCCAGACATCAGTCCAGGGCCACACTTAGGAGTGGGGCTGGGGCTGCAGTACCTACCTGGTCATGCAGATCCACCATGAATGGGTTCTGGTGGGGCGGGTGAGCGGCTGGGTGAAGCATTCGTGGCGGCGTGCTGGGAAGAGCGTAGGCACGGGGCTCATCTACAGGGATGTGCGGCTGCTGGGGGAAGGCAGGGTGCAGCTGGGGCTCATCCTGGCCCAGCAGGGTTGCCAGAGGTCTGTCACGTCGTCCCCACTGACGCCTGGCAGGGGGGCTGCGGGGCACCGCAGGAGAGAAACAGAGCAGGAGTGACCCCCCAGGCCAGGGGCACCGCAGCCCCGGGCAGGGTGGCTACAGGTGGGTCAGTGCCAGCCCAGTGCCCAGGGCGAGATGCTCAGGGCATTGTGCCAGGCCACATCAGGCTGGGCAGCTCCAGAAACAGCTTCTCTGCTCGCTCTGCAAGTGCCCTCTCAGTGTCTGCAGCACAAAAAGGACCCCTGCTCCCCAGGGACCCCTCAGCCAGGCCGGGTGGATGTGCTTCCCTGTCAATCTCCCCCCAAGTCGCCTGGGAGCCGGTGCCTTGCCCCACCAGGGCCAGAGAACCGACCCTGCGCCCCACACGCCGTGGGGGACAGGGCTCCGCACTGCACCCCGTACCTTCGCCGGAGGTGGTCGGGGCTGCTGCAGGGTCCCCCCGAGAAATGGCGCTGGGCAAAAGGGGCAGAGGGCGGCCGCCTATTCACTGCCAGTTCCCATGGTCGCATTGGTGACGTCGGGAGGCGGATGGGCACGCGGGACCTCAGGCTCCAGGCAGGGAAAGACACCAGCACCTTGGATCCTGTGAGAAGGACAGCCGGGTCACGGCACCTTAACCCCTGGGGCTGCACAGGGCTGCAGGAGCCCCCAGTCCTCCCCATGCCCCAAGCCAGCACAGCACCACCCCAGCTCACTCTCTCACCCTCTGCTTTGGGAGAGGGAAGAAAGGAGACACCGAGCAGGGCTGGGGCAGCCACTGCACCCACAGACATGCTAGAAGGGGAGGGAGAGGAATTTCAGCCTGCTTGGCCCCTGCTGTGCCCCTAAATGCTGGGAGTCACACCACCCTTTTCATTCCCAGAGACCTGCACAAGTGACACTGAGCCAGCCCAGTATCACTGTCCCCCCCCCAGCTCAGCCTGCTGCTCCCTCCCCACAGGAATCATAATGCCAATGGCTGGAGCTCTTGCTGCTGCACCCACCCTCTCTCCTGGAGCTGGATACACCTCTGAGGGGGATAGGAAGAGCCCATCCCCACCCCATCACCCCGTTACTGTCCCTCCCCTGCACGGCCAGAGCTACCCCCCCATGCACGACAGAGACACAGAGTGAGAGAGAAGCACTTGTTTTTGGCACAGAGAAAAGCAAGTAGTGAAGGGCCCTGAGGCTGTGGCAGCATCCCGGCTGCTCGATGGCCAATGGGGAGCCTGAGCAACAGCGTGGGGGGTTTCCAGCATGTCCTTGGCCAAGATCGGCTCCAGTGCTGGTCTGGGGGCTGCTCTCTCTTGCTGGACTCCTGCACAACCTACTCTGGAGTGACACTGCTGCCCTGGTGGCAGGCACAGGGGCTGGTGAGGGCAGTGGGGCTCACGGCCCTGCTGTGTCAGGGCTGTGCACCTCAACTCCCTGCTGCACGCAGGGCACAGCCACACATCCCTGTGGAGCAGGGGACAGGCATGGGCTGTCTCGAAGCCAGGCAGGCAGCTCTGCTTCCCCAGCTGCTTCCAGATGCAGTGGGACAGTGGGAACACAGGCAGGCGGACTGGGAACAGAGCCCCGGCCCTGGCCCTGCCCCATCCCCCCTCCGGCACCCAGGCTGGCTGGTGTCCTCATATCAGAGCCCCCATCCACCACACAGTTCAGCCCCCCCAGTCCCAGTGAAGCTTGGCACCACACAGAGGAGACATCTGCACAGGCTCTGGTTTCCAGAGTCCCAAAAGGGCCTTCCATGGCTCCATGTACCCTCCCTGGGCACCCTCCCACTGCCCAGCTTCCTTCAGCCTCCACAACCGCAGCCAGCAAGCGGAAGCAGCCGTGGCCTTGGCACTGCAGCCCACCTGCCCCTAAATCCAGCTCACCTGCAGGCTGGTGCCCTCCCAGACCAGCTCCTTCAGCCCCACCTCCTCCTCAGTGCCCATGGCAAAGGCACACTGGAGGCAAGAAGGGCACCTGAAGCCTGGGGAACACTGCTCAGCCCGAGGACAAGGCTGAGAGGGGGTCTCAGCCCAGCAGCCAGAAGCTGCAATGTCACTTTTGGGTGATGGGCATCGGCAAGCACAGTGACATCTCACCAGGGCGAGCTCTGTGCCACACACAGGTCTCTTCTTAACTTCACTTCTATCTACTACACTACTGTAAAAGCTGAAAGCAAATTTCTCTCTTTGTTTTGAGAGGAATAAGGAAAAACAAGCAAAAGCCACAGGCTAAACCCCAAGGAACCTGTCTGTGACTGCTGCCAGGGATGGGGGGTCTGCCAGAGCAGGGGGGTATGCCCCACAGGGGTTTTATTCTGTCCCCCTCAAGGCTCTGCTTAGCTGCCGTGTTCCCCTGTGTGGGCTGGAGGCCAGGGCACAGCAGCAGGCCAGGTTTAAGCCCACTCCCCAGAAGCCTCCCTGAGCTGTTATTGCTTCCAGTTCCACATCCTCACTCTCGAAGCACACGTGGTACCAAGGCCCTGCGTGACCCGGTGGGCACCTTCTAGACCAGACACCACAGGGATGGGCTTCGGGATGGGCAGTGCTTCCGCAGAGGCACACTGAAGCCACACAGGGACTCGCCTGTTCGCGGGACCTCCGGAGCAGTGGGGGCTGCCTGGGCTCCCAGCATCCCAGGACGGCACCTCGAGGCGGGACATCCCCGACTCGCGGACACGGTGGTGGCCCGGCCCTCGTCCTGCCACAACCAGCACCCCCAAGGGACCCACCCTCTTGCCCCACGCGGGCACACCCGGCTCTCTCCGTCGCACTCGTGGCTGGGAGCCAGCGGCCATCCCGGGCAGGGTGGCCGCGACCCCGCGGAGGTCACCGCAGCCCCGCACCGAAGGGCACCGCGATCCCCGCAGCCCTTCGGAGGGGCGGAGGGAGGCGACTCCCGGGCCCCGCCGAGAACAAAGTTAGCAGCGCGCCAGCGCTCACGCCCGGTGCCATCTGCTCGGGCAGAGC